CACCCCACCCCACCAGAACCCGCTGCGCCCTCACCTCGCGCTCGTCTTGCTGATCTGCGCAATTTTTGCACTGTGCAAGACTGGGCACGGGAAGTGAAGAGAAGAGAGTGTGTGTGTGTGTGGGGGGGGGGGGACTGTTGTCAAGTGTCGAGCAAACGTCTCATATCTCTGTCGGGTAGCGTCTACTGCGCCTCTTGTCTGCTACCTGCTACTGTCGAGTCGAGCCAGTTCGAGACACACTCCCAGTCAAAAGGTGCACCAGAGAGGAATTCATCCATCGAAATTTATTTCACATTTGATGATTGACTGTTCGTCGGTCTGAGAGCACCTGCCCGATGCACACGTGTGGTGCGGGGCCGAGACCCCGAGCCGGCGGCGGGACGGCGCCGTCCTGGCCCCGCTCCCGGTATCGATCAGGACGCCGTCAGGCGCCGCCCGGTGACCGGTCTGGAAGCCTCTCCAGGAGCCCAGCCCAGCCCGGCGCCACGACGCCCGAACCGAACGGCCTCGAGAACAGCGAAGCTGCACTGACTATGCTCTGTCTGAAAGGGACAGCCCACCGTCCTTTTGTTACACAATGAACTGGGGCTCATGCGTCTGATTCTTCTTTCAGAGGGTGGTCGCTGGGCCCCGTCCGAGCAACTGTATACTAGCCCGCATGTTCGGGCGCGGACGGGTTGCCTATTCGCACGGGGCCTTAAGGGCGCCATGGCTAGAGACGATAGGCAAAGCAGTGATGTGGGCGTAGTATACTCGGGGCACAGCGACCAACCTACCGTACGGGAGCATTAAATTATCCCTTCGAGACTATTTTTTATAGGGGGTGGGGGTGGAGGGTGGAGGGTGCATCAAGCAGCGAGATCCGGGGCGAGAGGGGGGCAGGTTTTCTACACTGTTCGGGACCTCCGGAGCCACACCGTACAGGGTGGCCCATCAGTGCCGTTCTTCAAGGTGCGGTGACATTACTTAACACCGGAAAACTTATTGCACCTCAAGGAGAAGAACCTTAGCATTATTGCCTTTATGAAAATGATGAAGACAAGAGACCAATTTTTGACAAAATTCCGAAGTGGGAGCCGGGCCTCTTTCCTATCGGTGAACTGGTTGTCACCCCCCCCCCCTTTTTCCCAACCCGTGTCACCGGCTGATGGTCTCGGTCCCGGTGTAGTCGCCTGCCGTCTCCTTGGTGCACCCGCCAAAGATTGTGTCCCACATCCAGAATAATTTTAATTGTCATTTTGTTTTCTCAGTGGCGCGCACGTATGTGGATATCAAAATTAAACTTCCCCACGGACCGGTGAGCATCAGGAAGCAGACCTGGTCATCGATACCCCTGATTCCCCCTGTTGCATTACCATTCTGTGTTGGTCTTTTTCTGTTTTTAGATATTTAAAACTAAATTTCAGAATGATTATTTTATTTTTTTCCCCTCGACCGCGGACGCGGGCAAGTCTCTCTCGTCGCTGCAGGCTCTGCCCCTCGCTCACCTTTATACGGCTTGGACACACAAGCCCTGCTCCTTTGTCAAAGGCCTCACCCACCCCGTCCACTCTCAAC